CACAAGGTGTGTCACACAAGGTGTGTCACACAATGTTATATTAGATAGTGTCACACACTGCCGGTTACATCGCGTTATATATTTCATATTTGGTGCTATAGCTAATTAGTATATAAGTACCCAAATAAGCAAGAATATAACTAATAATTTTATAAAACCGCACAACTGCCCACCCCCTCGTTGAGGGGGTGGGCAGTTGTGCTGAATGTTAATGGTTGGCCATCAATCAAATCTTTCAGTGTGGTAGCTGGGAGGATAAGAGGGTGCTTCGCTAGGGGGGTAAGATGGTCTTTGGCGGGGGAGATGAGACTGATGAGGGGGTGTCGTAGCACGGGATGGAGGCCTACTGGAGTACTGGGGTGGTGGACCAGGGAGTGTTGTAGGGCGAAACGGAGGCCTACTAGAGTACTGGCCTCTTGCAGCAACAATCTTGCGTTGAAAAAACATATTCAACTTCATTTCTACTTTGGCAAAACCCGCCATGCCCATTTCTCCACTCTCTTGAACGCAAGCTAGCTCCCATCCCCGCCGGCCCATCTCCACAATCACTGGACTCCAATCAGTTCTTACGGATCCTCGCGTTGACACCTTGAAAATGACATTATTCTTATTATTAATTAATTCATTAGAATATATGTGTTCACTGCGCCATCCAAATGAGGCGTTCTTCGCAGAGATAAATTGCAATTAGCCATTTCCCAAAGTCCTGGGTCTAGTCGCACAAATCTCATGTTGGAGGGATACGAAATGACCAAATAGGTTGTCACTTGTTTCCATCTACCAAACTGACGTTATGTAATTTGATCAATTTCTAAAGTTGTTTCTTTTCGGACTTTTTATTCATTTGGTTAGGGTTAGGGTTAGGGTTAGGGTTAGGGTTAGAGTTGGGTTTGGGGTTAGAGTAGGGTAGGGTTTGTTACATGACCATTTAACACCTCTTCCGTTTTCCGAAAGTGACATCACGTCAGTTTGGTGGATGGAAACAAGTGCTGACCGACGAAATATGGCACCACACATTTATTAAGCGCAGAAGCTCTGGGTACGAGGTTGATAGCTAGTGGGACTTAGTGGGACTACCAAAATCTGCAAACCGTACTCACCTTATGAAAATACTCAATAATGACGCCCTCGTATATCGGAGTGGGATCTTGGAATTTTGACGTTTCTTTTTCAAAGAACCAAATGGAATTCACAGTGAATTCGCGCCCGTCCCTTTCACGCGATCCGTCAATAAAAACCCGCACCAATTTCCAGCCTTGGTTCAAATAAGATGAAAATGTCCCTAACCAATCGCAATGGCTGGTTTGATGACGCATGCTAGCGGTAACACTGAAGGGAACATTTATAACTTGGTACACATACTTCGCTGGAGTTGGCTGCTTCGGAATTTCAAGCAGTATATCGACACCGATTTCATTGTCCACACGATGATTTATCCCTCGTATGACGCCTTGTCCGTTGTATTCTACACCAATTAAACGCCCTCCCTTAGATGTATGGTCTATAATGTTTTTCATCACATCAGAACTATCAGCGACTCTTGCTCTACTAGAGTTCTCGAAATGCATTGTTGATCTTTCAACAGTGAAACCAGCGCCATCTTGTCGTGCTGCTACTCCAACAGGCCTGCTAAAAATGGCTTCATATTTCATTTCCATTGTGTTGATGCCTGCCGTACTAACCGATTTTGGCAACGGGCAGAATGTATTTAATGTATATCCTTGTTGTAAGTAGCGAGAAATAGTAGGATAATAATCGTCAATGTTACTTGTTACCGCATTATACGTTCTTTTCATTTTAACAGGAAAAGCGATCACTAAACATTCGAGTGGCCAGCCCTGGTATGGTTGAACGTCTTGTGGTAAAGGAGTATGGTCTCCTCTTCTCGCTTCGCCACTCTGTTGATTAGATACACTCACTCCCATAGTGAAAAGTCTCTCATCAAGTCGTTTTAATATACCGTATTTACTTCGGAAAAGTTATGCCTGATTTGCAATTGAAAATTTGCAATGCGTTTCTGACCCCATGCTGGGCAGTTTTCTATAGATTGTCGAGTCACTTAACTGAAGACTTTTATTGTCTTAAACAAAGCGTATCTTGGCTGCCACTATACAGCCTGGTACTTAAATGGTCTGATCACGGAACACAACTAAGAAGGAAGAGTTAGGTTTTACCCGGAAAAAAGTTCAGTAACAAAGCTAAAATGAACCTGTTTTGGAAAAAAGTTCAGTACTCTAAGAAAGCGAAAATCAACCCGAAATCCTTCGCTCGAAACGTCGAAATTTTCCTTAGATTTTTCAGGTAGTTGCATCGATATTTCCCTGCTGGCAGAGGTCTCTATTGTGCATAGACCTCTGCCAGCAGGGAACATCGATATATATCCCTATCAACGAATTGAAAGCTTGTTCATCTATTCTATAGTTTATAAATTGTGTTTCATTAATCCATGGCCCCGGTTTTAAACACCAAAACACAGAACCTGTTTCCTATGGCTTCGTGCTGACCAAAAAACCATAGATATGGCAAGTGGGAAGTGTGTGTGGGGGTCCTGGGGGAGGGATGTGAAACCACCCACCTCTGAAAGTTCAGAAAAATCAGGTCAAATACAAACTAGCATAACTAGATGCCTAAATAAAAAGTCTACGAAGGTTTCTAGTAGGTCGATCTGCAGCCCAAAATCTTTGAAATTATTGTAAATACATCATACATAAATTTATTTACAAACCTCGACAGAACTGAAATTTTGGGTAAAATACAGTCAATTTGGATGCAATCCATTTGTGAATTTGCTTCAGAAGACACCAGAAATACAGTCCTGTAAAAATATAAAAAATTCTGTGTAAGGACCCCCCGGACCCTCTTGTTTATTTGACAACTTAGTTCTACAATGGTCAAGGTAAAAAAAACCCCTCTATTATAATTATTATTCTTCAAGTGCAAGGTGATGCTTCGCTTTGCTTCGATATAGTGCACAGAATCAGTGGCGTAACTACTATGGGCTCGGACCGGGCGAACCCGGGGGCCCCCGACTCCAATGGGCCAAATGGGGCCCCCAGGCTCAGGCTGTAGAGCAAAAACATTGACCAGCGCCTCTGATATGTCACAATGTCGTTTTCTGACCATCAGAATTCTGTAAAATCTCTCCCCAAAGCCGGGAAATGGCATTTCATAAAGTCTAGATTCCACAATTTTCCAGGTGAGCATGCCCTGAACCCCTAGAAAACTTGTGCATATAGGCCCACGACGCTCAACTCGTGCCTTTGGCACACTACTAGGGGGGGGGGCTTCGAAAATTTTGAACCGGGGGCCCCCTGATATAACGTTACGCCACTGCACAGAATAACATGTACAGGAACATTAGAGTTTGGTGTGGCTGGGTAGTCTCCTTCAAGTAACAATACTCTACCCTTAGCCAATACACCCTTTCGGAAAATACCTCACTTTGGCTAATAGTAATTACAAATACAGAACAGATAATGCCACTCTGTTGCGCAGACGCCACAGATAACCATCGGAATTTCTTGTGGTGCAGGCAGAAATAAGTACGCATCACTGGTACGCATGCATGTGTCATCCATTCCCGGAAATGAGAATTTCGCGGTATTTGCATTTTCGCGGTATTAAAATATTTCCTGTTTGTTTTTGGAATCATATTACCACAGTAAAACAATACACAACAATCAAAGTGAAAGCATGTCGTCGAAAACAATTTCAAGTGAATGGCGAAAAAAAGGCAATGAAATCTATCTTTCGGCTGCGAATCTTTTACCAACACTGAGAAAACAAAGGATACAACAAGCCATTCATATTTACTTGAATGCTTTTCAGACACAAGCGAACAACGATGAGCTTTCTAGTGCTGCGAAAAATCTAGCCATGGCATCATGGCGCCTCGCCGAAGTTCTCGAAGAGAAATATGCACATATTTACCAACTAAAAGAATCTGCAAGATATTTCTCCATTGCTTACAACGCGGGCCTGTCAAGCAAGGCACAAAGTTGGATTGAACCTTTGCTTACAAGTACTAGACAATTTATCGAGGATGCTATTCAATACTCACTGAATTTGAGCAACTTTAAAGAAAGGTCGAAGTTTCTCTATGAAATTGGTGCTGCAATTAGCGAAGAGAACTTAAAAGCGTTCTGTTTTTTAAGTCTGGCTGATGCCACTTTTAAAGCAGGCGTTTCAGAGCTCGCTAAAGGCAAGTATAAAGAGTGTTTGGCTTTGATGCATGAGTGTTACCAGCCTGTGGAAGAGGCAAGGAGATACGGTCACTGTGATCCATTTGTGACCACAGAAGTGGCTGTGTACGAGGGTGATATTTTCCTGCATCAGTGCACGGCCGAATCAATCCAAGCACGCTCTACCGGGGATGACCTGTTTAGCTCGGTGTTACGTGATGAAGACAACCTTAACGTCGATATGATATGGGAGGTTGTTGATTGGTACAAACAATCAATCCTATTAACAAGGGAGAAAGACGTGGAATTCGAGGCGATTGGGCATAGTCGGCTTGGGAGGGTTTACGACCAGGTGCTTAAACTAAAGTTCAAAGCCAAAGAAAACTTCATGCGTTGTCTTGAGCTCGTTAACTCCTTGTACCCGAGAGTGTTCACCTCCGAGAAATGGTACCAGGAAGCTACAGAAGCGTTGAACCGCTACCAGCAGGAAACAGTGAGGAAAGAGGAGGAAGCATGGTCGGCTGAGAAAAATGAAATTTTGCTCGAGTTGAAAGAAGACATAAAAAAGTTGGAAGAGCTTTCGGAAAACGTAGAAGATCTCTTACGACATATCTACAAGACACACCCGCCGAAGAACAAAAATCAGAAGCTTAATGAGTCATTGCTTAGTGGTGAAAATCGAAATGTCAAAAAAGCTCTTCGTGAAAGTCTGTTGCATTACCATCCAGATCGACTTAAAGCTAAAGACCTCGGCAAGAAGTGGGTTGTACTTTGCGAAGAAATTACTAAATACCTAAACCGAAAGTACGAGGTGTATAAGTAACGCTTAACTTTTATGAAATAAAGCTTTGGTAGAACAATTAAACCTAAAATACAAGGTGAACAATTGTGCTTAGTTGTGAAATATTCAAACTTTTGGTAGAACAAGGATTACTTATTATTCTGTTGACTATTGGTTGCTATTGAAATATTTAAAATCCTAAAAAAATAGACAAGTTTTATTTATAATTTTTTAGTATTAAAGTTAGTTTATTGTTCTGTTGGAAAAGACCTTATTCATATTGAACAATATTTTTTAGGCTGTAAATTGTGAGTAATATACTTATAACACAATATGCAAATATTTGACATGTGAAATGCATTCTAGAAATTTAGTACAGTTGCCTTGATAATTGGGACAACTTTAGAATTAGAGAACTTCTGTTAAAATTCTGTTTTATAATTCATGTAGAAAAATATATAAAAATGACTTTGGGATTATGTTACATCTGTTGTCCAGCTTTTTGGAATGTATTTTCATTTAGGACTCTTAAAAATTGGCCAAGCAAAAGCAAGCAAGAAGTGAAGATTTAATACCTCAAAGAGGATAGATAACAAATCAAATAAATACAAACTACTCTCTACATTTTAATGGAAATAAATACATTTATTCTTCATCTGCTTCTAAGTTTATGCTATCACCAAATTTCCCATAAAGTTTAGCTTTCAAAGCTGCTAGAACTCCTTGAATTTCTGTCAACTGTTCTTCACAGCTTTGTATTTCATCTTTAATTTTTGTTTTTGCTGTCTCTAAATGTTCTTCTATCTCTTCCTGGTTCATTTGAAGAAACACTTCACCAACTTTGTATCTGAGCATTCAATCAAGGTTTCATACAACTTTAGACAAAACATGCTAAATCTACCTTTTTTGCAAACCATTGTTAACCAAAACTCAGTGTATTAAACTTATTGGGCCATTCCAGAGAACATCTGGATTCCACCTATGGGGGAGATTTCTGCTGCCCCAGCTAAGGGGGGTGGGGTGGTGGCAGGAAGTCCACTTCTGATAGTAGTAAAATGTAATAAATGTTCAAAGTGGGGAGGGGGTGGGTTAACTTCCTATTTCTTTCATGGTGTTGTTTTCAAAAATGACACATTATCTTAGTGTATTAAAAGGATACGATATTAACGAGTCCTCGACCATCAGTAACTCATCAGAAGCATCTTCTAAATTTTGAAGATCTTTCTGTATAAAAAAGTAAAACAGTTCAGCCCATATTTTTTAATATTGCATTTCCCTGCTAGTTAGTCTAATGCCATATTTATACACATGAATGTAAAGTTATCTGTCTACCAATATACTGGGTACATAATTTCAATGCTTATTATACATGCTTACAGAAAGTGCGTCACCTTGGCTATAGAGCTTTGCTTTTGTGATTGAGACATTAGGCTGTAACTGCCAAATAAATGAAAACGAGGCTCTATAGACAAAGTGACATACTTTCTGGAAGAGTGTATTCCAATAATTCCATTATTTCCGTATATTTACTATTACATTTTTGAAATTCCAAGTGCACAATTTACAAACTCTCCGGTCAGACCCACCAAGATGAACTTGACAATAACCATGGACACATTCTAAATAACCTAAAACATACTTTTTTCGTTTCTATTTCTTCTTTTAATTCTTCCATTCTAGCATTTCTTCTTGCAAATGTATTTATTTGTTTTTGGTCTTCTAAAGTAATTTCTATCTCTTCTTTACCTTTCCCCAAGTTCTACAAATAAACAGTCTTATATTCATGCATGCAAACCAACCAAAGTTTTGAAAAGTAAATTGTAAAATGTCAAAAATACAGATTGTTTCAAAATGTCAAAATTGTACCTTTACAACCGCCATCTTGAATTTTAAATAGTTGTGCTTCCACAATGCTAAGGAAAATTTCCTTTGACGATGCTTGAACTTCCTTCTTTTCTATTTCTTTCTATTTTGTTCTTTTTCCCACTTCCCAGTATTTTATTCAAAATTTTCAAGCAGATAAAACTTCCTTCATTATTTAAAATTATAAAAATTATTGCTGCTAATAAAGCTATAATAATTAACACTGTGATGACTTTATATACACTTTGCTTCAGAATGTTTTAATTACAATAAAGCATTTAATAAATCTCATATATACAGTATTTATTTATTATCTTTTTTCTTTTTGCTAGTCCTATCAAAAACAGACCCAAATTTTGCATCAGCATGTTCTCGCTTTCCCTTTTCAGGAACTGTCTTTGCCTTGAAATTTCTGTGTTCTGGAAAGGTAGGCATCATATCGGCTTGAACTGGAAGTGGATTTTCACAAAAATAAGAACTTTCCATGCATTCAGATGCAGACACTCTTTTCCCAGGGTCGTACATAAACATTTGATTCAACAATGACAGTCCAGCAGACGATAGCCATGAGAAACGATGCTTTAAATTGTTATATGGTTGCCGCTTTAGCGTAAAGTTCTTTGCAACAGATAAATTGGAAAATCCTGGCCAGATATTGTCGTTTGGAGTACCAAGAAGGTTAATAATTAACTCCAATTGATGAATCTCTGACCTTCCAGGTAATAAAGGTTTACTGTCTAGAAGCTCACCCAAGATACAACCGCAAGCCCAGATGTCTACAGCTGCGGTTTGAACCTTAGCACCTAGCAACAACTCTGGCGCCCTGTACCAAAGTGTAACAACAATTGGCGTCATTGGTTTCAGAGGATAGCCAAACTTCCTGGCTAGACCAAAGTCAGCTAAAAATACAACAAAAGTTAATAATTAATTTCAAAAAAATACTGGGTAACACAATATATCCAAGAATTACTAGTACAATACAAATTAGGTTAGGATTATTAGTATTGTAAGGATTAGCTAGGAATAGTTTATAAGGTTTTAAGAAATTGCTGAAGATTGCTTATAAAAACAGATTTCAGAAGTGCAACCAACCTATTTTTAAAACACCCTTGTCTGTCATCAGCAGGTTGGAAACTTTCAAATCTCTATGTACAATAAACTTTGTATGTAGATACTCAACACCTTTCATTAATTGCAACATCAAGCACTTGACTTGCGCCTCCGTGAACGGTGTTTTCATATTATCCAATAGCGATGCCAAATCATGGTGACAATACTCCATGACTAAAAATATGCTCTGAAGATGGTTGCCAACCACTACTTCATGTAAGCGGACAATATTATGGTGCTGGATGTCCAATAATAAGTCAATCTCTCGAAGACCACTGATCAGCAGACCCTCTTTCTCTTCCATACGGACTTTCTTTAATGCAACAATGGTGTTACTCTTGGTATCTTTTGCTCGGTAGACAACTCCATACGTTCCTTCGCCAATTCTATTGAGTTTTTCAAATTCGATAACATTTCGACAACAACCAAAGCGATATTTTTCTGGCACAACAGTTTTGCTTTCTTCTGTGAAAGATTCCATTTCCAGAAAGGCAGTTGATTTGGCCAGTGTGGGATCCTCCATAATATTTGTGTCAACTCTGATAAGTGATATTATATCTAATTTCTGCTTTTGGCCTGCACTTTAATATGGTATAAATAATCCACAGACCACACAAAACAAGATAGAAAACTTTTATGTAGTCATAGTGTTGAATCAAAAAAGAAAAACATTTTCAAAAGTCATATATATAAAACACTAGCTTATGACAAATATGTAGTACAAAATGCTACACATGGCGACATAATGGCAGAACTAGGGATAACATGGGATACTGAGTGAGGAATAAGTGAGAGATATATAATAAAATACTTATATTTCATTGCCAACCTGTGGTGGTGTTACTGTGTTTTTTACAACAACCCCTCAGCCCTCAGTGCTCCAACTCCCCCTCCCCAACCTGATACTCAGGGTTTTCACTTCTGCTACCCCCCAAGTAGGTTTCGGGGGTTAGTGGAAGTGAAAACCCTGAGTATCAGGTTGCTTCCCCCTAAAATGGTTGGTCGCTGCTGGTCGGCCAAGAGACTATGTGCATCCGATGAAAAATTTCCCTGTAATACCATTTCCATAGGCGTATGGGAGGAAAAAATTAGGAGGGGGGATCTTAATGGGAATTGGGGGCTGCAGCCCCTTGAAGCGTAGCCTCCCCCGCTTCTGTGAGAAGCACCCTCATCTTCTCTCACAACTATATAACCCTAGTTTTGGGGGACCTTTAAACTGGAGGCATGTTATTCAGTAAAGTCTCCAGGGTTACCGTACGACACGTATAGTAACCAACGTTAAGGCCGGATTCCACGAGGCGGAATTTTTCGACCGAAACGAAATTTCTCTTTGTCTTTTTACAATTAGTTCTGCTCGAGAGCTCTGAAACAAAGAGAAATTTCGATTCGGTCGAAAAATTTCGCCTAGTGGAAAACCGCCTTTACTGGTTATGTTACGTAACCTACAGGTCAAGTATGTCAAAATTAATTCAAGAAATTGCAAACGTCTAAAGAATATTTCAGCATTCTTAAAACTCGAAGCCTTTCAACTATGAACCATTTTTAAACTACGACCAGAAACATGTCGACAGTTTATCGTAAAACGGTATGGTTCGTCCGCGGGCTGCGTGAATATACGTTAAATGGCTACCTTGAAGCGAAAAAGAAATTCGAAGACTTAGACACCGACACTTATAAAGACCTAAACGGTAAAGCGTATATGGTGACAGGCGCAAACAGTGGAATAGGGAAAAGCGTTTCGTTAGAGCTCGCCAAACGTGGGGCTACTGTACACATGGTTTGCCGCGATAAAACGCGAGGGGAAGAAGCACATCAAGAATTATTAGAAGCTAGCCCAAACAAGGAGGTGCATTTACATCTATTGGATATGTCAATGCCCAGAAAAGTTTGGGAATTTGCACTAAATTTTGCGGCATCTGGAAAAACCTTGAATGTTCTGGTAAACAACGCTGGTTGTATGGTGAATGAAAGGGTGGTATCGCAAGACGGATTGGAAAAAAATTTTGCAACAAATACTTTGGGGACTTACTTATTGACCACTGGGTTGATCAGCACACTTGAGAAAAGCGAAGAGCCTCGGATTATTACTGTTTCATCAGGTGGGGTGTCGTCATAGTAACTTTGGATAATGGGGTTGTTAGAGGGATGGAAAAATCCAAGATTGCCCCTCCCATTTAACACTGGTGGAAGAGGGATTAGACCTCCCCCACAGAGGAAATTAACAGCCCCCCTATCCCCTTTATTTTATTATTATCAGAGGTGTACTCTCCATACACCCCTCCAGATGGCAGAAATTACCTCTGTGGGGAGAGTGTGGATCTTTTCTGGAATGACCCATTAGAGAAATTCGATATTTAAAAGGAGAAGTTAATAAACTTTCCCTGTGAGCAGAAGTCTCTGTATCTTGTATTTCTGGTAAGCTTCTCAGATGTATGTCTTATTTTCATTCTAGGTGGAATGCTTTTGGTCAAGCTCGATGTTCAAGATTTACAATTTGAGAGGATGAATCCATTTGATGGCACAATGGCATATGCCCAGAATAAACGTCAACAGGTGATCATGACAGAAAAATGGGCTGAAATGTACAAGTCAACAGGCATTCACTTCTCATCTATGCACCCAGGTAATAAGCAAGCTCAACATATTTGTTATTACCATGACAGAGTTCTATACACAGAGTGTGGATCAACATTTTCAGAAAGAATTAAATCATACATTTGAGCCACACCAGAAAACCGCACCCAATCCCTCAATGGTCGCACTAAAAACCGTAAATTTTGGAACATATGTGTTCAATTTCAAACACTTCCCAAATTAATAAGGTTAAAACCATTGAAAGTGCTTTCTATAATTCTACAGTTTGCATGATTGCCAAATGATTTGCATGATTGCAAATTGTCATATTAGATGGTAACTGTGGTTAATTTCAAGCAAATTGACACACACTAGGTTTGTCCCCCTGGGCAGTTTAGGGGAGGTTGCACAAAGTGTACAGGGGCATTTTGGGAGAACTTGACTGCATGCATCCCTGCATTGCTAAGAATACCAGTTTTTATTTTAATTTTTCAGTTCTTGCCTACTAGTGCTTGCTCAAAATTGTTGGTACCCTTTGATTTTTTATAGGATGGGCAGATACTCCTGCAGTAAAATCATCAATGCCAGATTTTCACAGACGGATGCAAGGAAAACTGAGAACACCCGAGCAAGGTGCGGACACTATTGTCTGGTTATGTATTTCCAAGGAAGCAGTCAAAACTCCAAGTGGATCATTCTTTCAGGACCGTCAAGCAGTTTCAAAACACCTCCCTCTTGCTTGGACAAAGTCCTCGGCTGGTGATGAGGAGACACTGATGACAAAATTAAAGGAACTTGCGGAGAAATTTAGGGTAGAAAATACACCTAATGAATGAATGATTTTAACTCAAGGCCAGATATATAATACAAGCCAAATGAACAAGACTGAAGTAGAGTAAATGTTTGACTGAAATATGTAGCCACCTATTGTGATTTGTGTCAATACTACTGTATTTGTATTTATATTAGTTGCGAGTAAAGGTCTGACTAATTTAGAAGAACTAGTCTGAATTATACAATGACAATTGCCAACAGTATACACAAAAGAAGAGTAATAGTATGTTTGTATTGCCTTCTGTATAAAATATTATTATTATTTTAGAAACTTCATATAATCATGTCTATACTGTGTTTGTATTCTTATTAGAAAAGTATATCTCATAGGAAA